AATTTAGATCAACACCGCATTTCATTAAGATTATGAAATCCTGCAGCATTAGGGAGAATAACTACATGGAACAGTATAAATGTATTTTATTACTAGCATTAGCATCTCAAAGACAGTAACTGAACTCAATTCAGCGTACAGGGTACTTTTTTAAACCAGTCATCTGGGGCCGGATTCATTAAATATTTTTAAGACTGAAAACCTGTTAGCATGTAGAGACAGCAGGAAGAATGATGGTATGTTTAAAGAGGGACAGGGATCTCAGAATGGGGCGTTGAGCAACATGCCTGTCCTTAAACAGGTGGCTCTCAGTGTGATGCTCCCCAGCCCACACCAAACACGACTCATGACTCACCGATCCCATATTAAAACTGTTCCTGCTGGTCCACATGTCCATTTGTGCAGCCTCTCAAGACATGCGGTGCATGTGAGCCTATGCAGCAACGCCTGGCATTGACAACTCAACCCACACGGTTAGTCACAATCAACAGCCGAACTATTAACAATGAGCTTTTTGTAATAAGTTACGGTCACTGATAAGCCCATGTGACTGTGCTATCAAATAGATGAGACATCAGCGGTATGTGTGTGTGAGCAGAGCTGGAAGGATAAAGTTTAATTACAATTGCAATTAAGAGGACTATTGATACTGATATCATGGTGGCAGGTGGCAAGGCAGCATTACAAGCCTGTGCCCTACTTAATAATAGGGTGGGCTGGCACACAGATGGACTGGCATTCTGTCAGGTAGATTCTCTATTACTCCACCAGAACAGTGACTGATTTGTGCAGCATAAATCCACTCAGGCATTAAAAGTCCACCAATTAGCGTAGATCCATTAACATGAACAATGACGAGTTGGAGTGGATTCAGGCTGAAGGCTCCAAAAAAAAGCTGCATTTCAAGATGTCATTTAAAAAAAGATCTCAAAAGTGACTATCCAAGCAAATCCAAAACTACATTGCTAGAATTGCTTGGGAAAACTCTAAAATCTGTTTCAAAGACTATAATAAATCAGTAGCACTATTCAGAGTAAATATGTTTTTAGTCACAGTTATTAATTGTGATGCACAAATATTACAATTCTGGCTGACACAGATAAGCTGATAATCATCTTAATTTCCAATTTAACAATTTACACAATTTTGCCTAAATAAATTAGAAACAAAAACAAAAATTAGTCATTTTAAAACGCTAGAAGTGAATTTAAATATCACAACATTACAACGTACAGTATAAAAAAAATGTATATTCATTTTGAGTTTTTCTAAAGATCTAACAGGAGTTTTCAGACATTCAAAATTTAGATGATGGTAAATGTAAAAATGGGGTAAATGGTTATGAATAATTCTACCAAGATTATATATATTGAATATTTAAATATATTCCAATATATTGTGCATGCCTATTATTAACATAAGATGCCTGACGTTTCGTGTACAGATTCAGACAGGACTTGGTTGTCTCTGATTGATTTAATTCTCTTTTTAGTCTTTATTGATTTAATTCTCATTTTAAATTGGATGGGTTGTCACTAGTGCTTGAACCACCAACCATTTTATAGCTGGTGAAAAAGGTCTAAATCCAGGGACAATACTGTAACTATAACTTTCTACTTGTGCTGACTGACAGCTTTAGTTATGGCTTTTAATGAAAGGTCAAAAAAATGAGAAGTTGTGAGGAGGAAAAAATTATAATATCCCACAAATCACAGACATTAGTATCCGGATGGAATTTGATTTCTCAGAGGACCCCAGAGTTATCTGAAAAACAGTATGTAATTTTCTCTGTAATTTGCACCGAGGTTGTGAAAGAAAATCACAGATGTGTTTGATTCAGATGAGAATAAAATCACAAAGTACATCTGTGAAACACGCATTTACCCAGCCTCCTGCGGGAAAAGCTGTCCAGTTTGAATAAGGCTCATGAATGCAAAAACACAGTGCTCTAGGAAGCATACTATATTATAAATCAGGGTTAAGTGAGAGTTCGGAGGGGGCTCACCAGTGAGGTTGGTACGGGCGCTGTAGGAGCCAAGGTAGCGGCTATCGGTGTTGGGAGTGTAGCACTCATACATGCCCTGGTCGGTGGCCTGCAGTTTGGTGATGTGCAGCAGGACAGAGTCTCTGCTCAGCCTCTCGATGTAGATCTCGTTGCTGTTGACGCGCTGGGCGTACAAGGCATAGGCATAGTTGTGCTGGGACGTGCTCACGATACGGATCTCTCGATCGGGAGCGGTGTAAAGGTACATGGACCATTCAAAATCTTGCTCGACCCCTTCCTTGTAGCCGGTCACGTTACACCAGATGGTGATGTGAGAGCCTTCCGTTCGGATCAAGGGCCCCGGCTGAACTGTGACTTGCCGCTGGGCCGAGCATGAGACCACTGTAAGAAAGACAGAATGGGTCAAAATGTGAGTATATTCAATATAAATATCTCAATATTTAAATTTTTGACTTAAAATAGTTTTTTTAATCAGGTGAAGCATCATATCCAGTCAAAAGGTATTTCTCAATAATCTAGTTATAATCTTGATAAAATGTCCACTCCTGTCTGATAAGAAAACCTTCAAGCTTTCGAGTGCTTGAAATGTGTGTGTGTGTGT